TGAACCGCCGGACCAAGTCTCTTCCTACCCGGCCTCCCGCCGCAGCCGGAAATCGCCTCAGCCACGTCCGGCTCTCCCAGAAGTGCGAATCACATGACGGCCTACCGTCTGTTTGGCCAAATACCTCATGCGGCTGACCCGCCGGACCAAGTCTCTTCCTACCCGGCCTCCCGCCGCAGCCGGAAATCGCCTCAGCCACGTCCGGCTCTCCCAGAAGTGCGAATCACATGACGCGAGGGGGGCGGAGCAAAGGGAGCCCACGCGAGGCATCCGAGCACTTGCCGGCAAGAGTGGCGGTCGCGGGCAGCCGCCACTTCCGGCTCCCATTCGACAGGCATTTCACCCCCCCCTTCGGAGTGCGGGCCTGTTGTGGGGAGAACTGGTCCCCGGGTGTCCGCTTGCCTCTCGGGGGGGGGGGGGGCCCCCAACCCCCCAGGGGCAGTGCAACCCCCGCCCCCAAAGCTACTCCACTCTAAGCCTCTAGGGCAAAAGGACACCTGAAGAGCCCTGCTGGGTCAGACCTGTGAGAGGGTCCCTCTAACTCCAGCCTCTCCGCATTACAACAACCCGGCGAGGTAGGCCAAAGAGGGTTTGCCCGGCCCCAGGCCGCCCAGCGAGCTCCTCTGCCCGAGACCACCGGAGTCCTTACCGCTTCGGGGCTTGTTCAGCCGCCCCTTCAGCTCAGCCCAGCCTCGAAACGTAGCACCAAAAAACCGTTAGAATATGTTAAAGCCTCGACCCTGACTGACACCGCCGCCGGCCAATACAACGCGCCGACGTCACAAGCGGGGGCAGGGCCCGCTCCCTCCGCACCGCCCAATGAGTGCGTCCCCCGCCCCGGCCAATGGGAGCGCGCGTTGCTGGCGGGTGGGGACGCCGCGCTCCTCCTCCTCCTCAGGGGGCGCTCTCGGCAACGGCGAGGCCGTCATGGGCGACCGGCGCTTCCCCGCGGAGCTGCTTCCCCGCTGACTGAGCCCCCCTCCCGGCTCCTCCCCGCCGTCCGCCCGGCCATGGCCGCCACCTCACGCGAGCCGCCGCGGGACGACGACGTCTACGACGAGGCCGTGAGGGGGACCTGCGACGACGCCTCCCTCTGCAAGCGGTGAGGGGCGGGGTCTGGACCAGGGGGCGGGGCCAACCTTGTTCAGCCTGTCCCGCCCCCTTCGTTCAGCGGTAGACTGCCCCTGCGCCTGGAGGCTCCATTGAGCTGGCAGCCACGGGTGGAGCTCGCACCAGGCGGGGCCAGAGGCCAGGCTGGTCCTTTGCAGTAGCCAAACTACTTAGAGGGAGGGCTCAGTGACAGAGCGAGCATCCGCTTGGCATGTTGGAGGTCCCAAGTTCAATCCCTGGCGGCATCTCCAGTTAAAAGGGACCAGGCCGGAGGTGATGGGAAAGTCTTCTCCGCCTGAGACCCTGGAGGGCTGTCAAGAGGGGCCGTGGCTCAGTGGAAGAGCCTCTGCTTGGCACGCAGAAGGTCCCAGGTTCGATCCCTGGCAGCATCTCCAGTTAAAAAGGACCAGGCAGGAGATGATGGGAAAGACCTCCGCCTGAGACCCTGGAGAGCTGTCAAGAGGGGCCGTAGCTCAGTGGCAGAGCCTCTGCTTGGCATGCAGAAGATCCCAGGTTCAATCCCCGGCATCTTCAGTTAAAAGCACCGGGCAGCAGGGAATGTGAAAGACCTCCACCTGAGACCTTCGAGAGGTGTAAAGAGGGGCTGTGGCTCAGTGGCAGAGCCTCTGCTTGGCATGCAGAAGATCCCAGGTTCAATCCCCGGCATCTTCAGTTAAAAGCACTGGGCAGCAGGGAATGTGAAAGACCTCCACCTGAGACCCTGGAGAGCTGTCAAGAGGGGCTGTGGCTCAGTGGCAGAGCCTCCGCTTGGCAGGCAGAAGGTCCCAAGTTCAGTCCCCGGCAGCATCTACAGTTCAAAAGGACCAGGGAGGGAAAGACCTCCGCCGGAGACCCTGGAGGGCTGTCAAGAGGGGCTGTGGCTTAGTGGCAGAGCCTCTGCTTGGCACGCAGAAGGTCCCAGGTTCAGTACCCGGCAGCATCTACAGTTCAAAAGTACCGGGTAGTAGGTGATGAGAAAGACCTCAGCCCCAGACCCTGGAGAGCCCCTGCCAGTCCGAGTAGGCAAGACTGATGGACTAAGGATCTGTTTTAAAGGGGGCAAAAATTCTACTTTGTGAGCTGCTGGCATTAAAGTTGTGAGCGAGCAGTTTGGCTGCTGCATAAATTAGTTTGCTCCAGAGCCATCCTGCCAGAGCTAAGACAAAAATGCGTGAGCTAGAGACTAAAAAATGGAGCTAGCTCACACTAACTCAGCTTAGAGGGAACGCTGGGCATGGCACAGTGGAAGACCCTTTGCATTGCATGCAGAAGGTTCCAGTTTCAATCCCTGGCACACACACACACACACCAGTTTAAAGGTTTACCTAGCAGGTGATGGGAAAGACCCGTGCTTGGGAACCTGAAGAGCAGCTGCCGATCTGAGTAGGCAATACTGACCTCGATGATCTGATTGGATATAAATCCAGGTGGTCAGCGGTGTTGGTCTGAAGCTGTAGAACAAATTTAGACTGTGCGTGTACTGGTTATGATTTTATTCTTTTATTGGATTTTATGTACGGGCCTGTGCCCCTTGTAAGCCGCCCTGAGCCCGCTTGCGGGGAGGGCGGGGTAAAAATGCCTAAATAAATAAATAAATAAAACATGGCAGCTCGTACCTCAAATAAAACTTTGTTGGCCTTAAAGGCACCACTGGACTCTAAATTTGATTGGCTATAAGGCGGCTTCATATGTCCTTTTGATTGGCTATAAGGCGGCCTCATGTGTCCCTTTTGAGTCGTATTACATTGCTTATTAGATGTCTCATCCTGTTTGATTGCATTGACTTAACACTGTGTAATCAGCCTCGAGTCTAAGCTGAAAAGCAGAGTATAAATGATATAAATTAACAGGGGTCATTTCGTAGAAAAAGAGGGTGCAGGAGCTCATTAGCATAACTCATTAGCATAGCTTATTTGCATACACCACACCCCCTGACATCACCAGAAGTGTGTTAGAAGGCAACACCAACAGTCCAGGCAGCACTGGACTGTTTTGGATTGCTAGCTATGGGGGGGGGGGGAGAACGTGCAGATCTGTCCTCGCAGAGGAGGGAGAGCTTGTGCCTGAATAAAACTTGGTCTTAAAGGTGCCACTGGACTGTTTTGGACTGGGGGGCAAGGGGGAGCTCTGCAACTTACCTGGCTGTTGCTTGCTCTGACTGAGGGCTGCTGGGAGCAGGGGGTGGGGCTTGTTGCATGTGCCCGCCCCCTGGGCTCTTTACTGCCAGAGCTCCACTCCTGTGCACTCCTGCAGGAAATGACCCCTGTACATTAAATAAATAAATAAAATCTGGCACTTAGGGGTAGGCCTCGCCTGTTCCTGGAGGTTCCATTCTGATGAATAATAGTTGAGAACTGTTTTCTGCAACAGCCATTGCACCGTTATATCAGAGGCGGTGTTCCCTCTAAGCTGAGCTACTGTGAGCAAGCTCACCGTTTTTAAGCCTCCGACTCACGCATTCAGGAAGGATGGCTCCAGAGCAAACTAATTTATGCAGCAGCCAAATCGCTCGCTCACAACTTTAATGCCAGTAGCTCACAAAGGAGAATTTTTGCTCACAAGACTCTGCAGCGTAGAGGGAGCGTCGAAGGGTGAGATAGCAAAGGCTCAATGTCTGCTGCGGGAGAGAGTTGTTAGCTATTGTGGATCAGAAGAGAACCTCCAAATAAATAAATAGAATAATCTTTTGACTTGCCACTTCTTTGTTGGTCGCCCATGAAGTTATTATCCATAATTGGAGTATCTTAGAACCATTTTTTGGAATCAGTGTCCCTTCATGCGCTTAGGTGGGGAATTTGTTGGGGAAGGGAGCCACAGTTTGTACATGTAAAATATAGGGAAAGGGCTCTATTCTGCAGCCAGTGTCCATACAGAGGGGAGGGGAGATGTGTGTGTGAAAGCAGTAAAGGTGAGGTGTTTTCAGGGGAGGGTGGAATGTGGGTGGTCACACACAGGGGTGCCTTATGGGTTTCAGAAGTCAGTGCATGTACACCTGGGGTCCTACACAAGTGAGTCTGACAGAGGGAAATTGCCCTGGAGCTGAGCAAGGGGATGATTGGTGAGAGAGTGGATGTCCAAAGATGCATGTAAAAATGGAGGGGCTTGCCTATTCCCAAAAAAGTGTATGTGTGTCAGAGATCTGTGGGAGGGGAGATCCAAATGGCTTGATCCCCTTCAGTCTGCAAAGACGGGATGTGTGGATGGATGTGGGCTAGTTGGGCTGTGGCTAGAGAAGTAAAATTTCCGGAAATTTTGAAGCTCAGAAGAAAACTTGGTTTTTTTCGGGGGGAAACGGAAATTTTCGGGAAAATTGAAAAAAAAATGCTACATTCTAGATTGAAAGTCATTCTGTTACTTTAGGAACATAAAATATGACTATGGACATTTTTACTTGGCATGAAATTATCACAACTAGCATATTAGAAATACAGTGTATCCAAACAATTATTTCAAACAGAATACCCACCCACATGCAAAAACAACACTGAAACTTTTTTTATTTTCTACTGACAATCGCACCTCCTAAAGGAAGAAATGCATCTTGTTCTTGCATTGGAGGGTTCAGTTGGTAACCTAGGACTTGCTTGTCCTCAGTGCACAGAAATTAGATCAATCTGATACCATATATATATATATATATATTGGAAACGATTTGGAAAATATTTGAACACCTTGTCTTAAAATATTTTATTCATCATGTTAAAATAAAACATTCCATAATCATTTTTTTTCCTTTTTTCAATTTTTCCTATTTTTCTGAAAAAAACAAAAAGGCTTCAGGAAAAAAACGGGGAAAAAACGGGTTTTTTCCCCGAATTTTTCAGGGGTTTTTTCCGGGCCTTCACATCTCTAGCTGTGGCTCAGTGGTAGAACAGCTGCGTCCCAGGTTCGATCCCCACCATCTCCAGCTAAAAGACTCATGGCATGGGTGATGCGAAAGACTTCTCCCTGAGACTCTGCCAGTCAGAGTAGACACGACTGATCTTGTGGTCTGTCAGCATAAGCAGCTTCTTGTGTTCCTGTGAGGCTGACCTGATTTTCTTCTATTCCGTGCACAAAAAGGTGCTATGCCTTACACACCACAGGCTGAGTTTCCCTTAGGATATTGGGTTACTCTCCCAGTGTCTTTATGTAGAACAGTCGCTGGGGTATGACATGCTGTTTGTTGAAGAGTACAAGGAAACAGCCAACCCGCCGGAGAGCATTTATTCTGTTTTCCTAATAGCTTCTTTCTCTGTCACCATCAGGTATGCTGTAAGCATCGGGTACTGGAAAGATCCGTACATTGAGTATTTTGTGAGACAGCCGAAAGAGAGGAAGGCGCCTGAAATCAGCCGAGGTAAATTGGGGAACCAGCATGAACCGAGGCCGTGTCTGTTGCTTTGTAAGCCCAGGTCTCTTTGGGGGGGGGGGGAATATCTGTTGCAAAGAAACCCTTTCTCACAGAACTGAAATATGTGTCTCCGTGTTGTTGGTCTTACTGGCTTGTTTACATTCTGCTAGGATACTATGCCCGTGTCCATGGCGTCAGCCAATTGCTGACAGCGTTCTTGAAGAAGACGGAGTGCAACTGCCAAATTATAAACCTTGGTGCTGGCCTGGACACCTTGTTCTGGAAGCTGAAGGTGAGGTTGCTAATAGGGGGGAGAACTGAACAAAAGCTCGAGGGTGTGGCCGCCCACAGGGTGTTCTCTGAAGGTTGCCGCTTGAACATCTTTGTTTGCTTTGATGCATGTCTCAGAGCGGCCGGGAGGCCAATGAGGGCTGTCTTTCGGTGGGATTCTGGGATTTCCCCCAGATGCTTATCAGTGGGAAGTTCATCTGGAAAAATTCTAAACCTCCAACAGTGACCCAATGGATGCATAAAACTTGGGATATTTTCATGCTTGAAAAATTCTCAATCTATGACTCCTCCCACCAAATTGAATGTGAATTTTATAATCCTTTTAGCATATGGTACCCAATTTTGGACAAAATAGATCTAGACAAGTTCAATTGGGAGAATATATCGGAAGCAAAATACAAAATAATGCTGTTTAATTAAGTACAAGTCACTTGCTTTTACTATTATTGTCTAATATGAATCTGTCACAAAAGTAATTATTATACAAGTTATATTGGTATATGCATTTAGAAATGTTTTGTCAGCTGCCATCCAAAGTATTGTTATTTGCAAAATATTATACCTAGCTTATGTACAGTGTAGACTTTTTGTTTTACTCTCTATGTTACCAACCTGTTAATCTCTTTATTCTAACAGTTTGTAGTTATTATGTACCAAATTAAAAAGTTAATAAAATGTTCTATTTAAAAAAAAAATCAGTGGGAAGTTCATTAACAGAAGAGGAGAGTTCCCTGAAAAAAATGGCTTGCCTTGCTGGTCCCATTTTCCCCACTTCACGTGAGGGAGATTGGATTTGTGCTCGGTTCATTTGCAGGTGGTGGTTAAGACCTGCACCCTGCATGGACAGGTTGTGCCCTTTAGCACATACCCTGGTTGCCTCTGCCTGTGTGCACAGACTCCCCAGCAGATGTCAGTGCGGGAAGGGTTTCCAGGAAGTAAAGAGTTTGGAAACCTGCGTGACAGAGAGCAAAGTGCAGGGAAGAGGGGCTGAGTCCTGTACTGTCCCGTCCCCCCCGCAACTGTGGGTTCATAATGCTGAAAGTCTGGGATTTTTTTTCCACTTCTTAGGATGAAAATTTGCTTCCCAAAAAGTATTTTGAAGTCGACTTCCCAACTATCGCAACCAGGAAGATCCACAACATCAAGTAAGTCTCTCGACGTGCCGTCATGCTTGAACTTCACCAAGGCCCAGTTTTGCACGTAGAGGAGAAGGCGACGGTAAATTTATGGACTCGGCCTATTCAGACTGCACATAGATAGCTCAAGATGTCTGTCTGTAGCAGTAGAAAAGAGCCAGGGTCCAGTAGCTCCTTAAGGACTAACAAAATAGGTGGGCAGCGGATGAGCTTTTATGAGTCACTATCTGAAGAAGTGGGCTGTGGTGCTCCCTCGAAGCCGTGGAGTCTTGTGAGCAAAAATCCTACTTTCTGAGCGACTGGCATTAAAGTTGTGAGTGAGCCGTTTGGTTACTGCATAAATCAGTTTGTTCAGGAACCATCCTTCCCAAGCAGAGACAAAAATGTGTGAGCCAGAGGCTTTAAAACTGTGAGCTAGCTCACACTAACTCAGCTTAGAGGGAACACTGGCGGTGACTGACGAAAGCTCATCCCCTGCCACATATTTTGTTAGTCTTTGAGGTGCTACTGGACCCTTGCTCTAGACTGCACAGAGGCAGATTTCGCTTATTTTCTGTTCCATAAAGGGCTCTCCGTAACTGGAAAACCTACACAGTGGTGAGAAACAGCTTCTGCCTCCTCTATTTCCTTCTTGTTTTTCTCTTATTAGGGCGTTTTTAATCTAGGGGAGCATTCAAAAACATCATCCTTCCTGATCCTCTACCTCCAGTGTGAACTAGCATAGCCCATTCTACCATCTGTAACACTCCCATTTCCCTGCACGTGTGAACATGCATCAGAGGAACTTTTTACCCCCTGTTTTGTGTGTGTGTTTTAAGAAGAGGGCATTAGAGTAAATCTGATTATATCACAGCCAATAATCCACAGTAGTCACATCACTTTGAAAGTTAGCTGCTTCATAATGGGTAGAAAGTAGGCTAAAACAGAGGCGGGGAAAGATGAAATGTTGATATTTGTGGATATCGACCAAGGGCTAGGATTTTATCAGCATGCAAAAGTTGCCTTGAATTCTGGAGAATCACACTGCATGTTGCTCTTAAATTCATCTTTCTTTCTCGTCATCTGAAGTTTCCTAGAGCAAAGATCTGTCGCCTCCGGCCTGTGCAAATCCGTGCAAAGGGTCCATGAGGTGTAAGCCTTGTAGGAGCCCTGCCCTTTAGAACAATTCCTGTCATCTGCCCTCTTAAGCATTTGGCTTCTGTCTTGGAGGCATTGCCCATAAGCAAAGCTTCTGCAGGGTTCCCGATGGCTTTCCGGAGATCACGGAAGTCCTTTCCACCTTCCGGTTGATTTACAACACAACCCTTTGCAGATTTACTCCAGTCTGAAGTCACTGGGTTCAGTAAGCTTAGACTGGAATAACTTAGCAGAGGGTTGCACTGTTAGCCACTTCATAGTTGATGGGCTACTTGTGATCAATGCCCCCTCCAAGCTGTGGAGCCCTGTGAGCAAAAATTCTACTTTGTGAGCGACTGGCACTAAAGTTGTGAGCGTGCAGGTTGGCGGCTGCATAAATTAGTTTGCTCTGGAGCCATCCTTCCTGAGCAGAGACAGAAATGTGTGAGCTGGAGGCTAAAAAACGATGAGCTCGCTCACACTAACTCAGCTTAGAGGGAACATTGCTTGTGATGTACCTGCTAAAACTGCTGCATTTGAAATGTGGGGTGTTTTGTATTGTGGGGTCTGTCTGTCTCTCTCTCTCTCTCTCTCTCTCTCACACACACACACACACTAATTGTACCTTTTCATGGTGTGCTTTTTTGTTTGAATTTTATCATGAGCAGTACCAAGAGTTCAGAATAGGCTAGCAAGGGGGATATACATTGTCAAACAGGCAGTGTTTTGTGTATTGACCCCACTAGGGGTTGCCAGAAGTCAATCATGACTTCCAGGCACACACGCACACACACACACACACACACACACACAAAATACTCACCAAAAAAGAGAGGGGGAAATGTTTTCTAAGCCTCTGACAACTGGCAGAGAGTGTCTTGGGCCCTCTGAGATCCTCTGTGCCTACAGAAGGGGTGTTTCCGACGCTGGTCTTGTGGTTAATCTGCTGCTTGCAGCATTAATGTTGGAGCAAAATCACATGTTAATTTTGCGTAACAAGAATCAGTAGTGGAATTGGTGGGAAGGGAAATGTGCATCTGCAGAACCTGGCTTGTGGGAGGAGCTTCTGGGAGCCACACCTCCTTCGTCGCGGGCCTGTGGAGGTTCCCACTGGCTTATCCAGAGTCCCGCTTTGGGGGATTTGAGAGCAGAAGAAGGGCCCTGTGCAGATCTCTCCCTGTGGAAACCAGGTGCTGCTTGCGCAGCCCCCGCCCCAAACAGCGCAAGGGGGCAAACCCTCCTTTTCCTCCCAGAGTTTGGGTGGCTGCTTTTGTTGGCTGCCCTGAGGACTGGTCAGGCCTCTCCACAGCAGTGGGCGGGTGTGTCTCGCGAGATGGGGGGGGGGACGGAGGCTCTAGAACGTGGCTCACTGGCTCTTTCCCCCCCCCCCCGCCTCTTGTTCCCTCCTGCAGATCGAAGCCTTCCCTGTCAAAACCAATCATGGAAAGCCATTCAGGGGAGTCTCTCCTAATAGGTGAGTCACTTAAAAAAAAAAAAAAAAAACCACCCATCAGGGTTTTTTTTCCCAAAGCCGCCTCCTCGCTCCCTCTTGCTTTGTGAGCATGTCGTTAATCTTTCAAGTAACGTTCCGGAGAAGGAAGAAGGGGATCTTGACCTCTTTCCCCTCCGCCCCTTGCGTTGTATTTGTCTTCCTCCTTTTCTCTCCAATGGCTTTTGGTCGGGAATGCTGGCGTTCAGCTAGGGCATTCTCTTCCCTCCCCCTTTTGTGTCCATCTCACAGCCCCCGATGATTTGTCGGCTGCTCTTTTTGTGCTGCCGGTGCTAAGGCGACTGCTGTGTGCGGGCCGGCAGGCGGGCACAGCTGCCACCGCCGTCCGCCGTGCCCTGTAATGGCACCTGCCTTTATCTGCACGCTCCATTGGAGTTCGCACAATGGGCTGGCAGGGCCCTTGGTTCTGCGCTGCTTCCCCTACGGTTTCATCGGGTCAGCTCCTGGGGGGCTTTCTCAATGCTGCCCGACCGCGGACACCCCCGCTCCCTCCCTCTCTTGCCCACGCAAGGCTAATGCCTAAAAAGGGCCCATTGATCCATTTCAGGCTGTGGATCAGAGGGGGTGTTTGGAATGAGTCAGAGCTGGAATCGTCCCACAGGAATACCTGTGGGAACAAAGAGCCGTGCTGATCTTGGGATGGAGGAGGGGGGTGAGTTCTGGAAAGGGCATCTTATGAGTTTGAATGGAGACTCAGGGTCGCCTTCCGTTTCCCCCGACAGAGCTCTTCTTCCTGCTCTGTTGTCGCCCTCCGGAGGAAATGGTTGGCCACCATGTGAGACAGGAGGCTGGACTAGATGGACCCTCACTGGTCTGATCAAGCAGGGCTCTTCTGATGTTCTTATCAGGGGAAGGCCTCAGTCTCCCTGCCCTGTTGCTGGCCCTCCAGAGGAACTGGTTGGCCCCTGTGTGAGACAGGATGCTGGACTGGATGGACCCTCACTGATCTGATCCAGCAGGGCTCTTTTGAGGTTCTTATCAAGGGAAGGCCTCGGCCTCTCTGCCCTGTTATTGGCCCTCCAGAGGAAATGGTTGGCCACTGTGTGAACAGGAGGCTGGACTAGGTGGACCATTGGTTTGATCCAGCAGGGCTCTTCTGGGGTTCTTCTCGGGGGAAGGCCTTGGTCTCTGTGCTCTGTTGTTGGATGTCCAGAGGGCTGGGTTGGTGGCTGTGTGAGACAGAATGTTGGACTGGATGGACCCTCCCTGGTCTGATCCAGCAGGGCTCTTCTGAGGTTCTTCTTGGGGAAAGTCCTCGGCCTCTCTGCCCTGTTGCTGCCCCTCTAAAGGAACTGGTTGGCCACTGCGTGAAATGGGATGCTGGACTGGATGTACCCTCCCTGGTCTGATCCAGTGGGGCTCTTCTTGGGGGAAGGCCTCGGCCTCTCTGCCCTGTTGTTGGTCCTTACAGAGGGACTGGCTGGCCACTATGTAAGATGGGATGCTGGACTGGATGGACCCTCACTGGTCTGATCCAGCAGGGCTCTTCTGGTGCTCTTCTCAGGGGAAGGCCTCGGCCTCTCTGCCCTGTTGTTGGCCCTCAAGAGGAGCTGTTTGGCCACTGTGTGAGACGGGATGCTGGACTGGATGGACCATTGGTCTGATCCAGCAGGGCTCTTTTGAGGTTCTGACGTTCCTCCCCACCTCTCTTTCCATTATTGGGAACACGGGAAGGGATGATCTTGCGCTAGGTAGCCCGCTGAATATGATCTTAAACAGCATTCTGGGGTCTGACCAGTGGACAGCCATTGCGTTGCAATGAACTGGCCTCGCGAGACACTTGTAGCCGTCAGCTCGGGTTCTGCGTGTCTTCCGCTGGCCAAAGAGCTTGGCGTCCCTGCAGCACCATGGAGCATCCATGCCTCGCCTGGCTTACCTCCCATCGCCTCCCATCGCCTCCAAATCTGCTTTTTATGTGAAGCTTTGGGAAAGATCAAAGCAAAGCCATGTGATTTCCGGGGTTCTGCCCACATAGCAGCCTTCTCCCCCCCCCCCCCCCCCCCCCCCCCCCCGGTCCCCACGCTGGCTTTTTCCTCCCACCATCACCAGGGGGATTTTTGTTGTTTTTTTTAAATGGGAACTGGAGAAGTAAAGCTCTAGTCCCTTTTGCTGCAGAGATACAAAAGGGAGGGCCTTTTTTAAAACTGCAAACTGGGGATTCAGAGAACCGTAGGTACAGATTAATGGTATTAAATTGGTGGTAAAAATGTGGGGAAGCCCTGGTGGCGCAGAGGGGGAAATGGCTGGGGGACCCGGGCAGGGAAAGTACGGGGAAACCTGCCATGCGGAAACCCCGCTGCCCTTGTGCTGTATCAGCAGCAGCAGCAGTGGGGAAGCCAGGCAAGCCTGTCACTGCGTGGGAAACACCCAAGACTGCAGCAGACACAGTGTTTGAAACCCGGAGGAGGCAGAAGGCTCTCGATCCTGCCTCCCAAATGGGTGCTTTTTAACATTCCTCTGGAAACATTCCCACTGGTGGACCTCCTGAGGACACCTGGGTTTTGGCCACATGGCTTCTCTTACGTTCTTATGTGAATTTCTGCTCAGGGACTGGCTCAGTTCGCGCATCCTCTCTGGATTTGGGGGCTCTCTCGTTGCACTTGGGGGTGACAGGAAGAGAGCCAATGTTCCCTCTAAGCTGTGGAATCTTGTGAGCAAAAATTCTACTTTGTGAGCTACCGACATTAAAGTTGTGAGCGAGCGGTTTGGCTACTGCATACAGTAGTTTGCTTTGGAGTCATCCTTCCTGAGCAAAGACAAAAATGTGTGAGCCGGAGGCTAAAAAACTGTGAGCTAGCTCACACTAACTCAGCTTAGAGGGAACACTGGAAGAGACTCACCTTGTTCTGAGAGTGCTGTTCCATTTGCCCCTTTACATCACCTTGTCAGCTTCATCAGCTCCAGGCCAGGACCCAGGACCCCCAGTAACTCTGCACTTCCTGGTTCGGGCCCACAGAGAGCTCCTATCCCCACCCCCACCTCTCCTTCTTTTCTGGAGGCGGCTGCTGCTCCAAGCTGCATTTTGGCTTTCAAGCACATGCACAACGTCCACGTGCGCTCAGCAGTATTCCCCAAGATGGCCTCACAGTGCTTTTGTGCAGGAGTGTTTTTAACCTTTAGGCCGATCAAGGTGCTTTTCCCCGACGGGCAGGGTGAGACATTTGCCTTTTAATTAAAGGCAGCTTTCCCCCTTCCTGGGAGCTGTGGTGGCTCAAGTGGTTAAGACGCTGAACTGCAGGCTGTGGAAGGTCAGCAGTTCAGCAGTTCGAGACCCGAGTGTGCCGCATGACGGAGTGAACTCCCGTCTCTAGTTCCAGCTCCTGCCAACCTAGCAGTTCGAAAGTGAGAAATTGCAAGTAGATAAATAGGGACCACTTCGGTGGGAAGGTAACAGCGTTCCGTGCACCTTGGTGTTTAGTCATGCCAGCCACATGACCATGGAAACGTCTTCGGACAGCGCTGGCTCTTTGGCTTTGAAACAGAGATGAGCACCGCAACCCTAGAGTCGGACTCGACTGGCTTTCGAGCAAGGGAACCTTTACCTTTACCTTCCCCCTTCCTTAGTGCTTTTCCCCATCGATCGGCTGCCTGTTGATCACCGGGTGTCTTGGTACGTGTGCCGGGTTCTCTGTTGGCTCGATTCCGTCTCTGATACAGGCCTTGTTTTGGCGCATCTCTCTCTGTGACAGGGGAATCCATTGGCTTCCTTTCCTCACAGTCCCAGAGTCTTCCTATCCTTCATCAGCACAACAAAAGTTTTATTCTGGGTATAAGCTAACCCTTCTACCCGGAATTAAACTTTGTTGGTCTTAAAGTGCCACTAGACTCAGACTTTGTCCTGTTGTTTCAGACCAACATGGCAAACCACCGGAATCTTTTTTTTTAAAGTATTTGTGTTCTTTGATGTTCCTCTGGCAGCTTTTTCTGGCAAGCGGTTTCTTCCACGGGCTTGTAAAACCTCCTTGTTTGCTCATGGTTTTAAAGGCAGGTATGAACTTTTCACCTGCTTTGCCAGGGATTCCTTTGGGGGGGGGGGTGCCCCACAGTTGCAGAACTCTCTTTCCTCGAAGAACCGCCCCAAACCAGAGCATCTTTTGGCCCAGGAGTTGAATCGCTTGTTTATGTCTGATCCTGGGTAGTTTTCGGTAGCTGGGTTGAGGATGGGAAACGCATTGTATTTTTTGGTATATTTCTGTGTGTTCACATGTGCCTCTTTGTGTGTATATACACACAGAAACACACGCTTTTAAGCTACTAACTGAGCTGAAAATTAAATACTTGATAAATGGCTTCCTTTTCGGGGGGTTGGGATAGAGGTCAATCCTGTGTAAGTACTAGATAAAGTTATCTTTTTAGTTTCGTTTAGTTAGGGTAGGGAAATCTCAGGTGTCTGTAAATGCGGTAGTGCAGACTTAGGGTGTTCTTGCAAGGTGGCCGAGCTGCCCATAATCCAGAAAAGCTCTTGTCTAAGAGGCAGCCATTCTAACTCGGGCTGTTCTCTTTCAGAAACAAGGGAATTTGTTTAGTTCAGTCTTTCAGTTAGGTTTACCGGGTTACTAGTCCCCACAAAGTTGTACTAACTGGCTTGTCCACGCATACCTGTCTTAGTAATTGGTGGCCTGAAAGAGAGAAAAGAAACCGTGGGTTAAGTCTCCCTGTCATAAGAACATAAGAGACGCCAATGTTGGATCAGGCCAAAGGCCCATCCAGCCTAACACTCTGTATCACACAGTGGCCAGAAATACCAGGTGCCATCAGGAGGTCCACCAGTGGGGCCAGGACATTAGAAGCCCTCCCACTGTTGACCCCCCCCCCCAAGCACCAAGAAGACAGAGCATCACTTGCCCCAGAGCCCCTATCTATACCTTGTGGCTAAGAGCCACTGATGGACCTCTGCTCCATATGCTTATCTAATTCCCTTTTGAAGCCGTCCATGCTTGTAGCCGCCGCCACCACTTCCTGTGGCAGTCCGGTCATTTCCTGTCCGGTCACCTCAGGGCGATTCTGCCTTGCCAAAGCAAGTGATGGTTTTTCGTGAGCCTGATTTTAATGGCAAATTTCCCTGCAGACGCTCACAGTCTGGACTCCAGCCGGTACGCCATAATTGCCGCAGACCTTCGAGAATTGCCAAAACTAGAGGAAAGTCTGAAGAAATGCAGCATGGATCCACAGTAAGGTGTTGCTCGTGGGAATGACTGGGGAAGTGCAGCCTGTGTGTGTGTTTGTTTAAAAAATTATTGCTTTGCTTAACCCTGGCCAGACGGCACAGAACGGAAGCAAGGCTCCTTGGGCTGAACTGACTTTTGCTCCAGCATTGGGCAGAGTCTTTCCTTCGCTTCCCTGTCTTGGTTTGGGGCTCAGTGTTTTAGGTACGTGTGAGGTCAGATTGTCTAGACTGTATTTCTTACTTGAGAGCAGCTCCTAAAATCACCCCTGCCCCACCCCAGTTTTGGGCAGCCAAGGAGAGGCAGATTTGCTGGCAAATTGTACTTATTTCCCTTCTTGAAGAAGCCGGATTCACCAGTTGTTGTGAGAAACAGCAGGTCTGTCTGCAGTTCTCTTGAACCCCTTGGGAGGGGCCATGGCTCAGTGGTAGAGCATCTGCTTGGCAGGCAGAAGGTCCCAGGTTCAGTCCCCACCATCTCCAGTTGAAAAGGCCCAGGCAGGAGGTGATGGGAAAGACCTCTGCCTGATACCCTGGAGAGCTGTCAAGAGGGGCCGTGGCTCAGTGGCGGAGCCTCTGCTTGGCAGGCAGAAGGTCCCAGGTTCAGTCCGCGGCAGCATCTCCAGTTGAAAAGGACCAGGCAGGAGGTGATGGGAAAGACCTTATGCCTGAGACCCTGGAGAGCCGCTGCCAGTCTGAGTAGACGAGACTAACCTTGATGGACCTGGGGCCTTATTCAGTATGAGGCAGATGGAGCCAAGATGTGATTAATGTGACCCCACCCCCCTCCCATGCAGCTGAAGTGTAACAGGATCCAGGTTCTTCCGGCAGAAGGCTTCAGCTCCCAAGGAGATGCCAAGATCCTCTTCTCTCCCGCGCTGCTGGGGGCCAGAAAGTGGGGCTGGTGCTCTCTCAGGGGAGGTTTCCCTTGTGGAGTCATGCTTCCTTTCCTCCCAAAGGAATTCTGCAGTGCCTGTGGAAGAGCCACTCTGACCTCGGTCTCTCTCCCTTTCCCCTCTCTCCCCCCAACCCATTTGTGAAGTCTGCCCACCCTCCTGATAGCGGAATGCGTCCTGATCTACATGACCCCCGAGCATTCTTCCTGCCTGCTCAGGTGGGCCTCCAGCACCTTCTCCGCTGCCATGTTTGTAAATTATGAGCAGGTAAGAAGGGGAGCGGGGCGCCGTGTCCCACACCTGAGATGGGCAGGGGAGCTCTTCTCTGCTGGGGGCTCTCCCGACAGCGAGCTCTCCGATGGGCAGCCGCTTGTTGCGGCTTGGTTGCTGGGGGCGGCTGCTGGCTTTGCGGGAACTGCCGGAAGGGCGGAGGTGCCCTCCTCCCCTCCCCCCCCACTTCCACAACGCAACAATGGAGAGCCGGGGTTAATTTTCCCCGGAGAAGAATGGCCGCGGCATCCGAGGTGGCCGAACACAAGGGAACGGCATTGTGCGCGGTGTTATGTAACTTCATGAAATGTTAATCAGCTGGCGCTGAGGGGGTGTGGGGAGCGATAATGGATCAAAAGTGGCCCGAGTTGAAAGGCAGTCCGTGTGCAAAGAGGGAGGGGGAGCAGGGCAGGAAGAGGGGGCGGGGGGGCGGGCGCATGTTTGGCTGGTTCCATGCGCTTCGGCGCTGAGCGCTCGGCCGAGTCCCTGGGGCGGTACAAGGTTTGGAACTGTTAAAACAATGATCGTCAATAAACACCCGCTCAATAAATGCCGTAAAGCCGAAGCGGTGAGACCGCAGGCTGCAGCAGAAAATAATGGATTAAAGAGCTGGCAGGGTCAGCCGTGAAAAAATTGGGATCGGCTGACTTTTTCCTTTTTAATTGGCCGAGGCCTGAGGGAAGAACAGTGTAGTCAGCACCAAAAGATCGTTAAATTTGTCACCAGGTGGGTGGTTCCCAGGAGGGCGAGAATGCACCCGCCAGGAGCCACGGCAGCTCTGCAATGCTGGCCCTGAATAGCCACCCACCTTCCTTGTGGGGATATTGGGGGGGGGGGGCGCTATGGCTCAGTGGCAGAGCGTCTGCTTGGCATGCAGAAGGCCCCAGGTTCAGTCCCCAGCAACATCTCCAGTTAAAAAGGACCAGGCAGGAGGTGATGGGAAAGACCTCCGCCTGAGACCCTGGAGAGCTGTCAAGAGGGGCTGTGGCTCAGTGGCAGAGCCTCTGCTTGGCGTGCAGAAGGTCCCAGGTTCAATCCCCAGCAGCATCTCCAGTTAAAAAGGACCAGGCAGGAGGTGATGGGAAAGACCTCGGCCTGAGACCCTGGAGAGCTGTAAAGAGGGGTTGCGGCCCAGTGGCAGAGCCTCTACTTGGCATGCAGAAGGTCCCAGGTTCAATCCTCAGCACCTCCCGTTAAAAAGGACCAGGCAGGAGGTGATGGGAAAGACCTCTGCCTGAGACCCAGGAGAGCTGTAATGAGGGGCTGTGGCTCAGTGGCAGAGCCTCTGCTTGGCATGCAGAAGGTCCCAGGTTCAATCCCCAGCAGCATCTCCAGTTAAAAAGGACCAGGCAGGAGGTGATGGGAAAGACCTCGGCCTGAGACCCCGGAGAGCTGTAAAGAGGGGCTGTGGCTCAGTGGCAGAGCCTCTACTTGGCATGCAGAAGGTCCCAGGTTCAATCCCCGGCACCTCCCGTTAAAAAGGATCAGGCAGAAGGTGATGGGAAAGACCTTTCTCTCCCCTGGAGAGCTGCCAGTCTAAGCAGGCAGTACTGGCCTTGAAATGCCAATCGTCTGATTCAGTAGGAGGCAGCTGCATGTGAGAGTTCCATTCAGGGGAGGGGCCCTGCCTCACTGGGTAGAGCCTCTGCTTGGCATGCAGAGGGTCCCAGGTTCAGTCCCCAGCATCTAGAGTTGAAAGGCTCTGGCAGTGGGTGATGCGAAAGACCTCTGCCTGAGACCCCGGAGAGCTGCTGACGGTCTGAGTAGACAGTATTGATCTTGATGAACCGATGGTCTGATTCAGTGTAGGGCAGCTTTATAGAGAGGGGCCATGGCTTGGTGGCAGAGCCTCTGCTTGGCACACAGAAGGTCCCAGGCTCAATCCCCGGCAGCATCCCCAGTTAAAAAGGACCAGGCAGGAGGTGATGTGGAAGACTTCAGCCCAAGACCCTGGAGAGCTGTCAAGAGGGGCTGTGGCGGAGCATCTACTTGGGATGCAGAAGGTCCCAGGTTCAGTCCCCGGCATCTCCAGTTAAAAAGGACCAGGCAGGAGGTGATGGGAAAGACCTCCGCCTGAGACCCTGGAGAGCTGTCAAGAGGGGCTGTGGCTCATTGGCAGAGCCTCTGCTTGGCATGCAGAAGGTCCCAGGTTCAGTCCCTGGCATCTCCAGTTAAAAAGGACCAGGCAGGAGGTGATGGGAAAGACCTCCGCCTGAGACCCTGGAGAGCTGTAAAGAGGGGCTGTGGCTCAGTGGCAGAGCATCCATACAGCTGCTGGTTTTTGTCTCCACTGCATAAGAAAAGAACCGAAGGCTGGATGGGTTGGGAAATAGGCAACGTGCCGCTCCCAATCACCCGTGTGTTTCTGTAGCTGTGAGGGGCAGGATCCTGGTGGTTTTTATGAACCATTGGGATTGAAGGGGAGGCTGTCAAAAAGCTTGGCTCTGTGCTAGATAACAAAGCTCCATTGTGCAATCCAGAAGGCGCAGGATCCTTGGGGTCCTGGTGGTAGGAAAACCACGGTGTGAGGAAAGATTTCTGGGTCTTAGCCAATGTTGTGGAGTCTTGTGGGCAAAAATTCTGCCTTGTGAGCTACTGGTATTAAAGTTGTGAGTGAGCGATTTGGCTGCTGCATAAATCAGTTCTGGAGCCGTCCTTCCTGAGCTGAGACAAAAATGTGTGAGCCGGAGGTGAAAAAACTGTGAGCTGGCTCACACTAACTCAGCTTAGAGGGAACACTGGTCTTGGCTGGTTCCTAAAACAAAGCGAAACGCCCTGAGAGGACGCGGTGCACGGGTGGACGTGTATAACTTGTGTAAGAAGTGAATGAAAGACTCCGGGCTTCTGCTCGGCTGAGGCTAGGGTGCTTTTCCCCCTCCGGTGAGTCTCCCGTGTCCTTCCTAGGTGAACATGGCCGATCGCTTTGGGCAGATCATGGTGGAGAACTTGCAGAGCCGGCACTGTAACCTGGTTGGTGTGGAGGACTGCAGAACTCTGGAGACCCAGGCAAGTCCCGCCCCCCTGGTGGGAGGGGCTCGTACCAATCAGTATCCAAACGGGGCAGTGGTTTCCTTGGGGGGGCCTACTTCCCCACCCAGCTGTGTACACCAGTTTGGTGCAGTGGTGAAGTGCGCGGACTCTAATCCGGGAGAAACGGGATGGATTCCCCACTCCTCCACTTGCAGCTGCTGGATGACCTTGGGCGAGCCATAGTTCTGTCAGAGCTGTCCTTGAAAAAGAGCAGTCTCTGTCAGAGCTCTCTCAGCCCCACCCGCCTCACAGGGTGTCTGTTGTGCGGAGGGGAAGGGAGAGGAGTTTGTGAGCTGCTCTGAGACGCCAAGCGAACGGCGGGGTATAGATCCCGTCTCTTCCTCTTCTTCTCTTCTTCAGCCTCTGTCCCGTGTTCCTTCTGAGTGCACCATGCAAGGGACTCTTGAATTTGATTGCCTCTCCCCCCCCCCCCAAATGTTGGCACAAAGGGATTCCCTCTAGCAGATCCTGTTGAAAAGCTGTGGCACGTCTTAGCGTGGGGTAGCCGGACACACACACAAACCCCTTCTCCACCATGTTTGGTGTAGTGGTTACGTGTGCGGACTCTAATCTGGGAGAACCGGGTTTGATTCCCCACTCCTCCACGTGCACCTGCTGATGTGACCTTGGGTCAGTCACAAGCTCTGGCACAGCTGTCCTTGTCAGAGTTCTCTCAGCCCCACCCACCTCACAGGGTGTCTGTTGTGGGGAGGGGAAGGGAAAGGAGTTTGTAAGCCACTCTGAGACACCTTTGGGTAGTGAAGGGCGGGGTATAAATCCAATCTCCTCTTCTTCTTCTTCTTCTTCTTCTTCTTCTTCTTCTTCTTCTTCTTCTTCTTCTTCTTCTTCTTCTTCTTCTTCTTCTTCTTCTTCTTCTTCTTCTTCTTCTT